CATAGTAGTATATTATGGTAAAACTTCCACGAGAGGCCTGATAGGAAAGGCGACCTTAAGTGAACTGAGTTGTTAATCAAATCTTTATTGCCTACCGTTATCTTCGTGACGACAGTAATTAAATATGAGATATCGCTAATCAATTTAATCGTAGAAACGCGATTTGCAATTCTCAACCAGTCACAGTGTTACTTGATGACGGACGGTTTGTCCAAGTCTCAAGAAGCTGGGCTATCCGACGTTGTGGTTGCTTCTTTTGACGCAACATCAAAGTAAGAAAATGTTCTTTGATAAATAAAAATAGATATATCAAGCCGCTGCTATATTTCTGATATTCTTTGTATTATATCAATACGTGGCTATTTGAAGGGTTAAAATAATTAGATAAACATACAAAGTTGATCGAATTAATCTACTGGGGGACTTGACTACCCAGGTGGGACGCGTTCTTAATTTTGTTGAATGTTGATATTAGTATATATGTATTGGTATATTAGTATTGCGACCAAAAATTAGCTCAGGATTGATTATGGGAACAAGACAAATGGAAACATCGTTAAATATACAGTTGTGTTACCAACATTATTATGATACAATAATATTATATATATATAATAATAAAATAAATATGCTTCACCATTCCAATTTAATTTTTGCTTATATATATGTGCAACAACGAAACTATTGGGCCGACAAAAGAATTTTTATAGGAACAGTAAGAATAGGTTCATTTCAACACTCGTCTTCATTTTCTGTACTTTGCGCTTGGTTTTATTTACGTAAGTTATTTAGGAAAAACGTTTGCTTTTGGTTGGCAATAGGAGCATCGTTGCATTATGTTTTTCTACTTGAAAAGTATAAACAGTGGGCTCAGATGAGAGATACAAGTTTTAATTTTATCGATACATTGAAATGGCATATTAGGTTTGCTTTCCCAATTGACTGACACAGAGACTGAATTTTGTATCCTCTTGTCAGAAGTAATAACTGCCGATATTGTCAAGTTTACTCTTTCTATTATATATATATAGAGAGAGAGAGTTTTTTTTTTAATTTTTTCTAATTGAAGGAAAACTACTAGGGTAACTATTAGCCTGTTATCAGTCATACAGATGCGTTGATTCAATTTACAGCATAAATCCATCAGAATAGTGTATTGTTTATTACATTCTTAGTGACACATCTCATTGTGTTACATTTACCAATTTTCAGAATTAAATGAACGAAATTGAAACTGATTATATTTTCCAGAAACGAAGGAAATTCCGAATCAAAAACCAGGTAAGCGGCTATAAAGAACAAATATTTCACTCGCCATCTACATGTAAGTTTTATGTTCTTGCAAACAGTGGGTATTCGGGATATGTTTATTATTTGCGGCTATTTGCACTATTGGTCAGTTGAATTAACCAAATAAATTAGGCTTTGTCGAATTTCGCCTATAAGTTTTCGTGTACAATAATAACACAATATTTTCTTAAGCTTTAGCGTGTGTTCTCTTATAAGCCATGTTGTGTGTTCTCTGCATCAAGGAAGAAGCCTTACGAAACATATTATTGTCATTGATCTCACTCTCCGCGCCAATGATTCAAGTTAATTCTTTGAGCTATTATGTCTTGGAGGAGAATGATCAGAAATAGATCTATCAATTAATCTCGTGCTGGATTTTGAAAATTGGTCCAGATGAACACTTAGGAGATACTGTCAATGCTAGTTTGGAATACGAAAGTTGTTACCAATGCAAAAATCCAGATGTAGCCTATTTATGCTGATAATGCTCAAACTTTCATATTTCGCAGATACTCATCAAATGTTTAAGGGCACATGATCTTTAGCTGATTAAAACATGAAATGTATAAATTATGCCACTCCAAAGTTGTTTTATATAACAGTGATAGCATCATACTTTGACTGAATATAATATCAAACAGTCAAAAAACGACGAAATAAAGTGGTAAAAATTTACCCTAGAATCAGTTCTTCAGACTCTCAGTACCTGTACGTACGTTCATCACATAAAACGTCATTGTTTGATCTACTTGCAGTCCGAGCTTCCTATGCATTAGCATTGCTATTTAACTTTAGATTATTGAATCACTCTTAATGAAACTATGCGATGAGGAACTAGATTGAATTTCAAAAACAAAGGTTGAACACCCTACTCGCCAATGTGCGATGCGAGTTCTCTTCTCAGTACTAAGTCATCCAGGCCGTTTCCGAACTGCGATCAATTTTCGTAGTAGAAGTGGAGTAGAAAACTTAGACGACTTTATGTAAATAGTAAATGTCCAAAAACGTTTTTTGAAGCAATAGGCCAATAGAGGATATTTTCAAAGCTAATTTTGATGTCCGTAATCTACCCACAAGGTATAGAAAAAAGTTTAGACTATTACTGAGCTTCAAAATCGAACAAAGATTGGCTTGCCCAATTCGCACTGCTGCATTGTCCCGGTTTCTTGCTTCAGATATATGGTACATCTAGTGATAACCCACCCCTAAATCCGTATAGATGGGGGCCATCTGATTGAAATAAAGGAATCGGGGACGGACCGACCACCACCTCTACGTTGCGACTTGATTGGTTCGTTTTTTGCGTTATTGAATAACTAGGCTACATGACTTGGCAAATGACAAGGTTCCAGGTCTAGATTGTTGCGATATCATGCTGTACCAAACATTATGTAACTATTCGTGTTCCATAAGTTGATGATATCAAAGACAGTGACCTAAGGAGCATAATTGACTGATTTAGATTAAAACAGTATATTAAGCTTAATTTTAAAACGCCACAATGAGTTTGCCGAAGTGAAACTGTAGGCAATATAGTATAGTACAAGTTACTTGCAATATGAATTGATTCCAGCCCCAAATGCTGATTCGCAACCGATGTGTTTGCTGTGTATTAAAACGTTCCTAATGAAGTGACCAGGCTTTATCAGTATTTGACAAAAATACATCCGGATAAAGCAGACAGAAACGTCACATTTCTTCAGACACCCTGAAATAATTTGAAGACTCTAAAAATCATTGGTAATTTGTTTTAAAATCTATCCCTGAAAAGCGATGATTTACTGCGAACCTATTATCTGAGTAAGCGGCCGCTCAACATTTTAGTCATACCATGATATACCTGTTAATTTTCTCCATTTTCGTCTTGACCTGCAACGATTAAGTTCGTGTTCAGGTGGCGTTATCTCGCTCGGCTCTGCGCTCCGTCCGGCTCGGGTTTTAGAGATCCGAATTTCCTTCCGTTTAAATACAGCAGCGTTTTTACTCGAATTTTTGAGCAACTACCGGGGTATAACTCTACTATCAATTTTTATTGTATTAAAATAAATTGTAGACTTTACCACAGATCAAAGAATTTTTCTAACATTGATATCTTGAAAATAGTCTTGGTGGTAGCATTGTGATTCAGTGTTGTAAGAACGGATCAAATTTGTATAATTCGTAACATCGCGAAAATACGAATCAAAGCTAGATATAATCGGGCAGTTTGACACTTGAATTGCCGTGATGTTTCATATGTTGACCGCAGGTTACATTCAACATATAATTTAAATTAAAAAAGCAAGACATTATAAAAAGACTCGTGAATTATATATTTTTCACAACTGTCTCAAAAGCTGTTCCGTGGGTATTGGAAGCCTATGGATAGGTTTTTTGGAATCCTGGCTGCTAATCTAAGTAAATTATGTCGAATCAATTATTAATTGTACCAAAATAAATTTGAACAGTCTGAGATTTTATCGTAGATCTTTCTCACAGCGATATCTTGAAAACCGATATCCCGCAACAGGGAAATACCATGACCACAATTAAAATAATATGACAAGACACTTAAAATGCTCGTATCGGCCCGGGATGGAATACATAACCGAAACATTACAGAACAATCACGCACCGATATCCTAATTGCGGCGACTGTTACATGGAATTTTCGGGATTCCAATTTCTTTTGGTAATTCTGGTTGCGCCCTTGAACGTATTTTAACATTCGTCATATCGAACATTTTCGGGTATTCCGGAATCTTTTGTACATGGCCCCCCGCAATAAAAACACCACTGCCTCCGCTCAAAATTAAAAGTAATCCAGTTGGGGTGAGGGATGCAGATTGCGAGGGCTTCAGATACGAAAATTACAAAGGAATCCATCTTGTAACGATTACCCGATTTTTAAAATGTAAGCATTTTTCCAACATTTCCCTTCGTTTTAGTCATTGAGCTGAAGTTATAAACTTCCTACTACTTTCAAGTATCCAGTGTATCGTGCACCAAAACACTACATATCGTCGCCACAAACACCCCCCAGGGCACCCAACTGAATAATCTCCACCCCAAGGTAGACCAACTGTAGAATTTCCACCCCAACCAAGACCCTCTAACCCTAACCCTACCAAATAATTAGTCCAGGTGAAATGAAGGATCAACTGGTATTATCGGCTTGGGTGGGTTGGGGGAGGGGGATATTCTTCAGTTGGGAAACGGTATAGACCGAAGAATCTCCACCCCAACTCTATGAAAATCGCAGTTGGTCTTACGAAAATTTCAAAGCGGGCGAAACCTGCTTCAGCGCCACCGCTGGCAATACGATAACCGATGAATAGTTGTTAGTTTTGTTATTTATTATTATTTTATATATATATATATATTATTATTATTTCATTTTGTTCGCCCAGTATCAGCTTATTCATATAATTAAAACAGTCGTGACGTCATACTTTTATGATTAGAGTAATCGAAAGTGTAATGTGACTAAGCTATCGCAATTACGGTGCCATTACATAAGCGATTTTTGCCGTGACTACGGAAGTCATTTTGGTCGATTACTTGCAAGGCTTAAAGGGGACGGAGCGTACAATTTACCTCCAAAATAACGCTAACTAATTTATTTGGTTCACTATTCTCCATGCGCATGCACTGCCCGTGGTGGAACTCGATTAGAAGTACAAAATAATTCAGTACCGCATCCTCCCATCTTATCATAGCTAAAATAGATGTAAATTTGTATAACACTACAAAAATATATTGTACTAAACTAGATGAACAGAACCGTTCCAAAACTTTGATGCAACATATTCACAACTTGAACAAATAAGTAATTAATTCTATGTACAAACTTACCAATGATGACAATTACTAACTTTGAAAAAGCCCCATATATTGGACACAAAACAAATATCAATCCAATATTGAACCTTGCAATAAATAAACAGACAGGGGAAGTATGGATGAAACAGCAGAAAAATGTACAAATTCGAAAATTTCTTATTCATAGTTGGATTAGCAGCAGGCATACTGCATTGACATAAAACTGGAGCAATTTCGAATATATTCAAATACCATACTAGTTCAAGTGCTTGAGAATGTAGCAACCTGTCCATGTAGAAAGATATCCTATTTTCAGAGACAAAGACTAGAACAAATCAATGTATTAATAAGCCAGCAAAGACAGAACTAACAAATTCATCTACCAATAGAACCCTTTGTGTAAAGGTTTATGAGTTGCTTATTCAGCTGTGTTAATTTTCTTTCCACACTCAAAGCCGCAGGTTTGTAGTCAATACTTTTTGATTTGATGTCTGTAAGAACACAAGTCGTGTGTTAATCGGTGTGGAGACAAAACAAAATTAGAAAGAAAGATTTTAATGATGAATTATTATTGGATCAAACTAGACATCAGAAAAAAATGCTATGAGTTGCCGTTTTAATCAAGTGCCATGAAATAATAGGATTTCGACTGTGTACCCAATTCACTAAATTCAATATGTCAAAACCTTTTAATGAATCCTGTAAAATCGACCCGCCTTTCCCCATATTAATATGATCAATTTTGGTATTTGAAAAAGCTAACTTTCAAATGATAGTCAAACTATTGAAAGTTCAAACAGACATCTAATGGTGAACGGTGTCACGACAACATTTTCAACATTGAAAATAATATTGTAAAATGGATGTAATATTGAAAACTGGCAACATAAATAAAGAAGACATTTGAACATTTTCAATATTTCAATCATGCCACAGAAGTTTTGCATCACAAAATTTTCTGCCATTCACACCGAACTGTTTTCCTTATGTATTCTCAGTTGAGTGAGTGCGTTTAGGTTCGTGAAACTTAATGGAAAGGCCCAAACGTAAAATTATCAGTCACCAAAAAATTAAAACCTACATTCCGAGAGTGCAAAATTGTTTTGTTCTAAATGCTGCCATTTTCTTTCTTGATTAACAAGTTGAGCATGGGTTTCATTTTCCTCAAGTTGTACTTTCAATCGTTCATATTGAGCGGTCATATCTTCTAATGCTATACAAAAGTAAGATTACTTCATTTAATATCAAATGAGGTAGATACCAGATCAAGCTTGAGTAACAGCGCTAGCAGTTCAACTCATTGAAGGTAATTTTAAATATTCACAATACATATTAACACATCTCTGATTATAATACCACTAAAGAATAAAATTGATTAAGGATCAGATCATGATCCACATTGATTCACCAGAAAAAGGGGCTTACCTATATTCTAAATAACATGAATGCCCCTAATACATCATTATAACAGTAGTGGCATAAATACACCATGCGAATAGTCACATTAATCCTGGCTTATTGTCTCCTCACTTGATATGCATTGCACAAATAAATGTTATATTTTCCCAGATTGAAAAATAATGTATGAAGTACTACAAGTGCCCACTATAGTAAATTTAATTCTCAATCACTATCATTAATACGAACTTGATCCAAAATCAATTTTCTTCCTTTCTAATTCTGATTTTTCTCCAAGTAGTTCCTGCAAATATAATCAAGTCATACAAATATATTCACGAGCTTGCATAAATTAGATAAAATCGCATTTTTGTCATTATCAATCCCAAATGCACAAAACATTGCCTAATAAATATGCAAATTCCAGCAAATCAATGTTACTAAATAATATATTGAACATACATCAAATTCAGTAGGAAGAAATAAATGAGTGAGCATAGGGCTTTCCAAGAGTCAATATAACTTACAATTTTTCTTTGCTCAGCATCAGCATTAAGTTGGTCGATATCCTGAAATTTTTTTAAATCTCGAACCATTTGATCATTTTTCTCTCTCAAAGAAATCATTTCAACATCAATTTTATCTGCAAGTTGCTCTACCTTTGCTAAATCTTGTTGTAAACGAACATTTTCTGTTTTAAATGGAAATTTATTTATTCTTCATTGACCTTTTGAGTATCATCAAATAGGGCATTCGAAAGTATATAAAATAATCTATTCTCAGAATATGGGTTATTTAGAATAGTTCTGAACAAATAGACTAATAAAGGACCAAGACTTCCACACTGTGGTCTAGATTCATATACAACAGATTGATAAATTCGAGTCAACTTTAGTTTTCATCGTGTTACATCCAATAGTTTAGAATAAGACAGTTAAGTTTCAGTTTTTCCACGTAATGTTGTTGATTTTTTTGGTTCCTGATCATGCTGTTCAGATAAACACAACTCAAGCGGTCGTCGTTGTGATTTCAAAAATTGTATATGAAAAAATCGAAAAATAAACAGTGTACAAATTTGTAAATTTATTTACAATTCATTAATTAATTTGTTTCCGAATTAATTAAAATTTCATGGGAAGTACCATTTTATCTTCACTGTCTTCTCGATTTATGCATGCTAAACTTTAGCTTCAAAGGTGTATCAGGAAAAAACAAAAAAGATAATCGCTGGAATGGAAACAACACATTTACAAAGAGAAAGACTCAACTGTACGATTTTGGGAAATTATTTCTATATGGACTACCAAAGCGATACAGATATAATTGTAAAATGTAAAAGTGTCCATCAGTCTGCCACTCTCAAACATGAATCATTATATGTTTAACCAGAAACTGTTGGTAAAAAACACTAACACAACATGTCATAACGTACATGCCAATGCCTCCTACAAATTTGTGGGCTATTTGGTTGTGTTGGGTAATGTTTTCTGCTACGCTTAAAACAATGAAATTAAATTGGCTTGATCACGGAACACAACTCAAGCTCATTCCTACACACCACAAGTCAAAATACAGCATGAAACTATCGAAAGTTTCGAAGCCATGATTCATCTGTGAAGTTGGACATAAAACAGCTACAATATCACAAACGCTGGCTAAATTTTAAAGAAATCCGACAATATAAATTTTTTTTTCCTCTAACGAGGGAAAACTAATTATGAAGCATGGATACAAGAATTCTCCAGTTTTCGAAGAAAGCAAACCTTACAATCAGTGGAAAAATGAAGTGTCAATGTGGACATTGGTTACAAGTCTTCCAAAGCCTAAACAAGCTACTGCAGTGGCCTCATCGCTCAAAGCCAAAGAAACAGCCATGAAGATTGCTGCAGAAGAGTTGAACAAAGATGACGGTATGTAAACTCTGCTAGAGAAATTGGATGCAGTTTTTGAAAGAGACAAAGTCGATCAGGCATATAGTGCATACCATGTATTCGAAAATTTCAAAAGTTAACCGAGTGAGAATGTCAGGGATTACATTTCGAGATTCGAGAGGCTGTATACAAAGTCCAAGAAATTAGACATAATTCCAGATTGGCTTATAAACTTCTTGAAGGTGCTGAATTGAGTCAACATGATGAACGACTGGTTTTGACAGCAACCAGTAAACTGGAGTATGAAAGCATGAAATCCTTTCTGAAAAGAATTTTTGGGGAAATCATGATGTTTAACATAACAACAGTTAAAGATGAACCACTCTATATCTCTGAAAAGAATTTGCATAAAAGAAAGGGTCCTCGAAAAATGAATTCATTGCAGAAAGATGGCTCTGTTAGCCGTTGTGATGTATGTCGGTCGATTTATCATTGGGTCAAAGATTGCCATTGAAAAGAGCAGTGGAAGCAATTGAAATTCAGTTGTGCAATTTGTAAATACAATCAACATCATACTACAAGGGTCGAAATAGTCTGGTAGATAGTACAAGAGGATGTGCAGAGATTTATTCGGGATGTACATAACAGTTTGTGGAGATGATTGGCTAGCGGACTACGTCGGATTGTTGCCAATCAATTTGCATGACAAAATTAAGCGAAGGGTGAGCTCCGTTACTTTTAAGTTTGGTGATGGCAATAAAGTGCAATCTATTTATGCTATACGTTTGCTAATACAGATATCGGGAATATCATGTTACATAAATTGTGAAGTCATTCCCAAATCACTTGCTTCTAAGTAAAGAATCTTTCAAATAAAGCAAAAATAATCATAAATTTTGCAAATGACAAAATTCTGTGCACCTTTACAACACAACAAATTTATAGAACCTGATCACGACCATAAAAAATGTTTTACATGTCGAAGATGTTTCATTTCTTAAAGCAAAAGAAAAGGAATTAGAAAGTTGGAAATGCAATAGTTTATATACAGTTGTAAATACTGTTGACCAAAAGACAATTTCAACAAGATGGGTTTGCACACACAAACAGACTCCAGATGGCCTGCAGCCAAAGGCACAACTTGTCATACGAGGTTTTGAAAAAGAAATGTTTAAATGATCTGAAGAAAGATTCTCCAATATGCTCAAAAGACAGTTTGAAGATGGGAAAACGTTATTGCGTTTGAATAAGTGCGCATGCGGGTTAGCTGATGCTTTCCTATATTGGTATCGCAAAGTCAAAGAAGTTATAATTCAACTGGTGCTAATATGTCAAAACTTGAAACTGCAGTATTTTACTGGTTTGATGGGGAATTTAAAGGGGTAATAATAGCCTTGCATGTAGATGATATTCTGTAGGCAGGTGACACAGAGTTTGAAGAAAAGTTCATTGAAGGTTTGAAATCTGCATTTACAACTGGTGCTGAACAAAGCGAAACATTCAAGTAATTGGGACTAAATCTTGCTTTTCCTAATGGAGTGATTTATCTGTATCAATTTCATTATATTTATGGTATGAAAAACATTCAACTTAGTCAAGAAAGAAAAGCTGACAAAAACTTTTGAGATTTGCTTTGGGTCAAATATTGTGGGCAGCAGGCCAATCCAGGCCAGATGTGGCATCCAGGTTAAAGACAAGCATTGTTAGCGATATTCTGAAAGCAAGCAAATAAGCTGATTCGACAGTTGAAATCACACGAAGTCGATATAAAGATATATATATATATACATATATATATTTCTCAATTGCGAATCAACAGATTAATTAGTGAAATACTGGCATGTTAAATAACGTAGCGATTTGCACATCTGACATAAATGGATAACATATCCAAGAATATTTGTCACTTGCAAACTGTCATATGAAAATGTTTTGCGATGACAATGGCCGTCCAAAATGGTAGATCTCCACTGAAGTTTAGCAAAATATAATTTATACTTTTTCCAATAATTCTTATTACGGAATTTGATTATTTTAATGTTGCTAAAAAAGAATATTCATACCCCCAGTTAAAGTGGTCGATGTAGATTGGGCTTTCTGTAATTCCCCCTCTTTGAATTGGAGATCCTCCTGCATTGCCCTCATTTCATCAACAGATGGCAGGTTGCTGCTCGTCACAATATTCTGAAATACAAGCAAATGAATGAAATTAAAAAAAAAATCTGCATTGAATAGCATAGATAATAATATCTAATCAGGTGATCAGCATATAGCAAAATTTTACTAAATATCACACAAGAAATGAGAGAAGTTTTATTTACATATATACATGATAGAAGTCTTCCCAACCAGTGGGGTCACAATGCTATTCAAGGTGGGTCGCGAAATATTTCCAAATGTTACATACAGTACATTCGATTAGATCGGGAAATTGTGAAATTATCATTATGTAACAATTAGAATTATGCCTCGCGTGGCGTTAATAATTTCAGGTCGCTCCCACATGTTGGAAAGTGTAGGTGGGTTACTAGGCAGAATAGTAATTTATTGAATTTATGTAGACCAGGGGTGCACATCCTTTTTGCTATTGGCGGCCACATTGCATTTATTTGTGTTCAATCGGCCTCCAGGGGGTTGATGAGCGCGCCAAAGGCACGGAATTTTTTTGGCTTTTATGACGTCATAACTAGGGCTGGGCAAAATATTCGAATAACGATATGGAATCGAATACTAAAATGTCATTTTACTATTCGAATATCCGGTACCACGTGAACTACGCCGCTTGGCTAACAGACAAAAGCGACAAATTTTGGAAGTTAAAAAAACGTTTATGACGAGTTATATATATAGCATGGATTTGCAAATAACCAGTCAAAGTGTTTCTTAATGTACTTTCTATTAGTTCTTCAGTGATCCCTTCCATCCGTGGCCAAGTTATGTTTCGGAAATGTGAACATTTTACTCGACCATGCATGGCCGAGGGAGTGTTAAATTGTAAACAAGAGTACAACAGGGAATTCAATCGTGAATTTCGCCGTAACAACGCACACTAGCTCGTTTACGAATTGTTACGCTTATTATTATCATAAATTATTACATGTGTTGTATTTTGAAGCATTTTAGCGGTAATAATTGTGGCGTGACACTATCAAAATCGTCAATTAAAGTGTTGATGTCGCAAATTCTGTAGATAAAATTGTGAGTTGGTCGGTAACGATTTTAGCAATAATAACCGTCGGGGTATTGTTTTGTTCCAAAAAAAACGTTAAAACTTGAGGGAAATAGTTATGATTAGCATCTGACCCTCTGTTAGGACCAAAAGCCTTATGACAAGTAGAAATGCATAACGGCCGATTTATTCAATCATTATTATAAATCAAATTCAGGATTCGCGCAATCCCTGGTGCAAAGCATGAGAAAGTCAATCATCGTCTTAATAAATATCCTCATCCCGGTGTCGATAATACTCTTATTGTCCGCTTTAAAAAACTTGGACGGTTAATAATATACAAACGGTTATAAGTAAGATCAAAGCCAACACAAAAGATAAAAATAAAATAAGAATAAAATTAATTTGGGTTTTAAAATCAGTCCTTCTTGTCTTCAAGAACTGTTGCCGATGTGAACGCACGGGTATACCAGATATATAAAACTTCGATGTCCGCCGACCCACAAGAATTATTACTCACAAAAAAAACGGACGAGACTATAGATAACCAACTTTAGGATATCGCAGCCAAAACAATCGCGGTGACAAAAACAATTAGAGATTTAGATGAATTAAATGAGTAAAAAAAAACGCTTTGTTGACGACCTTTCAACGTTTCTTTAGTATCGACCTCAGACGTCCTGAACCCTTGTTGTATTTGAAAATTATATTCGTTATTCGACTATTCAGTATTCGTAAAAAATATTCGAACTATAGGATTTTGTATGTATGTGGACAGTAGCAAAGACGCCTGATTATTCATTTTATTCAATGAGTTGCATTTTAAATAGAGACTCAATGGGGTTAATATACTTCATTCTAACACCCTAACTTTGTTTGATTCTTGTGAGCCACGAAATGAATAATTTTTTTAAAAAGAGAAGGTAATGATGTAAAAGATGAAAAAGAAAAGCTTGAAAAGTTATAGTGAGAAAATATGACTATTTGGTTTCATTAAGGCAGGAAATGACCTAGGCAGGAAGGAGCCAAAAGCACAATGAGTTGAGTGTATATGCTCTGTTGCATGTGAGCTTGTCTCCTATAAAGCCTAGATGGGATCCAATATGATAATATCCAATATCCAAGCTCAAGTTTCGCATTAATAGTAAATTACACTGGGACACATTGTTTCTTCTCATATATCAATATCTCATTATGGGGTCCACACAAAAAATGTCAATAAAAATGGGTCGCGAACTGAAAAAGGCTGGGAAGCACTGGTAAAAATGATTAACAATTAAATACACAAACCCACCATACTGATTTGTTCCAAAATGGCAACATTACTTTGCTCTAGTTGGTTGATTTGTTCCTGGCAAGTGTAAGAAAATCAGAAAACATTATCATTACCATCATATTGGCATATTATTAACATTTATATAATATGAGAACATGTGATAGAAAGACAACCATAGAAGTCTCATCACCAAGATTGTATTAAAAATATATATCGATAAATGTTATATAGTATGAATCCATATCAGGTTGCATGTTTGGTTTTGGTCAGGTCCAACAATCAATGACAAATGTACACACAATTTTAATTTTTATAAAGTTTTATCATCCATGACTAGAAATAGTTAAGTATTGCCAAATGCATTAACTTCTATTATTTATTTATTTTCCCAAAAGATTCTGAAAGTGAATGAAATTATGATTGCAAGTAAGAGTGCAGGCAAAATTGAGTTAGCAGCAATAGGTCTTTTCTACTTTAATGTAGGAGAGTTATTGAGTACTGGTTACTAGAATTTGGTGTCGTATTTAATAGGGATTTCATTTAGTACAATTTTAAATGTTTCAAAATCACAAATGTCTTAATAAAGTTATTCTGACTCACTATAAATCAAGATGAATAAACATAAAACATATCATTCCATTATTCATCAACTAAACAAAAATACTCATTACTTACAATTTCAGTATTTCTATTCTGTTCAAATGTATTCATGAAGTCTAAAGAGAATTGAAACACAAAAATGTACATTTCGATACCTTTTATGTCACCATGGAAATTTTGAGGATAATCAAACATCCAGTACAAAATAGCAATCCGCTATGAATTTCGCAAGACATATTAAATCCACAGGATTTATTCATCAAAATTCAAACACATTTCAATGAATATGATGAAGACAACCATGAGTCAATGAACTTTTTTACGTATTTTTCACTCAATATATGAATGTAGATAAGCAACTACTAATACATAAAATATGTTAGAACATTCCATTGGTTCACCAATTTATTTTACTCCTTATGAGGCAAGAGAATATGCTTCGACCCAAAGAAAACTTTTAGTCTGTAAACTAACACAGTTAGTATCAAGAATAGATGAAACTAATTGGCAATTGAACTTCCCAAAATTTCAGAAATCTATATGGTATAATTTGAATAAAGAAATTAAAATAAAAACATTTAAAAAATTTTAACGCCAAGATCTCAATTATCCTATCAGTACTTGATGAAGTACCTGAAAGTTGCTAGAGTGTGATACTTGAATAAATAAAAAATTACGAAAACTTACCATCTATGTTCTGCTCACGTTTTTGCAGCTGTCTGTATTTTTCGGATGACTCGCCTATTCAGAAATAAACAAAAAATATAATAGCAAACGAGTTCATGCACATGAAAACATCAAAGATGATAAAAATTTTGAAAATTATATCTATTCTATGAAAGGTTTACTACACTAAAAATCGTTTTTATTTCAGAACATGTACAATAAATGAGGTCTCAAATACACAGAATGAAATATGGTGTATATTTATTCAAATATCTTAAGTGTATCAGTTCAAAGCCAATCCAATATTGGAAGCCACACATAAAATATGAAATTTTCTGACGCACTCTTTGACGTGCTTGGTAAATTCGAATAAGTCAAAGGGTATGTACCAAAATTCACAATTTGAATTTATATGAATATGGCGAGTTTATTCAGAAAAGCTCACAAGTCTTTAATGGAAATGATTCTTTTTGAAGAAAATAACCTATGAACGAACCACTCATAGACTTTTTAATTACTAAATCCTGAAACTAAGCCTACCAAAATCAAAAAAATAGGACAGCAGAAGATATATATAAAAGGAATAGCATTGAATAACAAAACATTACAAATGCAAAAACGTTAGTGACCTTGTTGGTCTTCTAATGCACTTTCAATCTGTGATAATTCTTCTTGATAAAGATTAATTTTTTCTTCCAATTCTTTAGATCTGAAAAAAGCACAAGCGATGAATCAAAGTATGCAATTAAATGCAAAAAGACAAATATTGTAACTCCAGCCGAGTATACACCAATTTATACGTAACACCACCAATGAAAAGATTGTTTGGGGGAATTAAAATATCACTCCATCAGAAAGTACAACAATAAAAGTTTAATAAGCATTCAAGCAGGGCCATATCATGAGCTTGGTGGTCGAAATTACGAACAAAATAAATAACCATCAACTCAAGTTTAAGGATACTTTGTACTGATGGATATAATAATTCGTACAGTATGTAGACAATATTCTTGATTCTGTTTTTTTGCAAATTGTATTGGTTTGATGAAAATTTTTTATTTAAAATATATGCAACATATAGCCTGAATTGTTGATAATACATTGTTTAATTTGCATGCAAATCAGCAAAATTTTTAAAATCAACAATTTTGAGGTGACCCAAGTTTATGCGCAATTTTCGTCACACCAAAAACAGCAAACTTCTTGATATGCAGCATACACATTTAAGTCAAATGCATCAATTTAGCTTCAGAAAACTTGAAATATCAGCAATCAGTAATTTATTTTGTCACCGTAATGAAAATACACATCGTGCAAACAAAATAAAGTAAAAAGAAGAAAAATACATTTCAGGATGAAAGGAGACACGATAAACCAGTACTGGTTATCGAGTAGCGAAACCTGTGAAAAAGTCTAACATTAAATCATACTAATATAAAAAGTAGAACACCCGATACTAGAGATGTACCGATACCATTTTTGTCGCCGATACCGATCCGATACCAGCTAAAAAAGCCGATACCGATACACCAATACTACAAAAAGGCCGATATTCCGATACTATGTAATTATTACTTAATTACCGTAGGTGTGCTGTGTAGGGCAGAGGGGTTAAAACAAGGGTCTTTGAGTGTTGTTCATAGTAAACATTGTTTCAGATCGAAAAAAAAGATATATCACATAATATGAAATTAATGTTTGGTACCGGTATCGATAATTAGGCTTTAACTGATTAAGATACATTGTACAGTAATGCTAGTAATCTCAGTGTTCAATTAGAAAACTCATAAGCCGGGATGACCGATTTGAATTTAATGTTAATATCGCGACCTTCCAATATCGTTATTCGTGTTTAAAAGAATATCAAATATCACCCACACATTCTAGCGCCGCCGTCCTACGTTCAGATTAAAAGCATTTCACAAATATTTTATTTCGTGGCTAATCGTAATCGTCAACGCAATAAGTCAAAGCCAACATGAAAGAATATCAATGAGCACCGACCAAAAAAAGCCCTACCTATAACCGCCGAGGATGTTTTTTTACTTTAATATTTTATATTATTATACAATTGCTATCATATATTTTGAGACGGTCTAGGGCAAGGGTGGGCAACCTCTAGCACACATGCTAAAATTGGCACACGAGCTCATTTATTCGGCATGCGAGCGAGGCCTCAGAAATGAGATCATTCTTTTTCAGATAAAAAGTTTCAATACTATGAATTATCTGATGAAACTTGGTGTTCGTTTATTCAATATATATCGTTTGTTTAGGAATCCGTTATTTATTCAAACTTTTTTGTCCTTTCATGACATATGTCTACAAAGAAATATATTATGACGTAACAAATGAGTGAGCTCTCGAGAAATTTTGTCGGGAAGAGCGCAGCATCCATTTGCCACCCTTTTTATTCATTTCTGCTTGATTTATGAAGTTTTACAACTCATGTTGGTCACAGTTACTTGCTAACTTATTGTTATGATTGACTTCGAAATGAATAAGCGAATAGGGAAGGGAATTCAAAGAGAAGTGCAGAAAACGAACTATTCCGTGATTAGGATGCCATTGTCAAAAAATTTTTGTGTAATGCAACCGCATTACTCTAGATCAGGGGTGGCCAACCTATGGCGCATGCGCCAAACGTGGCGCATTGCATGATTAGAGGTGGCGCATTGCATCTTTAACCCTTTCCATGCCAAAATTGTTAATTGCACTTGGCTTCTCCACGCCAAACCGCTTTTTTGCGATTCACATGGTGACTTTTGATTGTACCTAAAATCCATTCTCCTTACTCCACGTCGCCCACTTACGGCTTGTTGGAATTAGAAACAACAGGCGATTATCGACGTTAGCTTTTGGACGGACTTTATGACATTCATTCTAGACTTTTAGCAAAAATTAGTAAAATTTACTATTTTTTCCCTACTGAAGTAAAAAGTTCTGAACTTCTGGAAAAATAGAAAATCGTCATTTATCAGCTTGAAACATGGATTTTCCATTGCCCAGACTTCCCAAATATCTCCCAATAACCATTGAACAACCAGTTGAATTGCCCAAGCCTGAAAAAATTATTATAAATCAACCCACAACCACTTTCCCCACTTTCTAGGGGACAGGTGCTGAATAGATTTTGGAAGCTAAAAATACTGTCCATGATTTTCTTGAAGAGAAAAACGAGCTACCTGAGGAAAGAGCACTTTTATGTGATAAAAACTGGCTATTTGATTTGGCATTTTTGGTTGATGTTACTAGCCATCTCAATGATCTAAATTTGAGACTGCAAGGCAAAAGCAAACTATTTCCAAGCTTAGTAAATGACATTATCGCATTCAAGATGAAGTTGAAACTTTTCGTTTCCCAGTTGGAAAAAGAGGATTTGTCCCAATTTCCTCACATAAAAGAACACCGTGAATGTGCTGCTGGTAATGGCCATTTGGCAATATACACAGAAAAAATCAAGTTATTGCAAGAGTCATTTGAAAGTCGTTTTCATGATATTTCAAAAGAAGAAGACTCTATACTTGCTTTTTCAAACCCATTTTCACTTAGTGAACTAACCATAATGAAGATGCCAAGCAATATACAACTGGAACTAATTGACTTGAAAACTCATCCATCAATGAAAATTAAATTTGATGAGCTTTCTTCAGTCCCAAGTGCATCTGACATGATCAAGTTCTGGCAATCGTTACCCCGTGAAAATTTTCCAGAACTGAGAAAATTTGCCCAGGGTTTTATATGTCGTTTCGGAACGACATATAGATGTGAACAAACTTTTTACTGCCATGAAACTAATTAAAAGCAAAGCGAGGTCAAGACTTACAGATTTAAATTTGAAGAATGCACTGCTCCTCTCAGTAACAAACTTAACTCCAAGAATAAAAAAACTGGCGGAAGTAAAACAGCAGCAAAAGTCTCATAAAGGCGTACTTAAATAAAATTGATCAGTTTTATTTATTATACTTCCTTGCTTAATTTCTAATCATGTGAAGTTGTAAATTGTAAAAACTACATATATGTGTGTGTATTATAAATTTATATAATTTCAACAAGAAGCGGACATTAGGCGTGGGAATACAAGAGATTTACGGCGCATCTGAAACCTTATGTTTAAAACGTGGCGCATGGTATGTGAAAGGTTGGCCACCCCTGCTCTAGATGTTTTCATCTACATATTATGCTTGTGAACCTCTGTTCTCAGTAATGAACTTTGTTAGGTCTTGTAACAGAAGTAGCCTGAAAGATGAAACCAGCAGTTCGTGTATTTCTTTGAAAGTTACAAAATATAAACCCAATGTTAAATCTCTATCAGCGGTAATGCAGCAGCAGAAGTATCACTGGTATAGAATAAGAAAAGTAATCAAATTTATTTACTGACTGATATTTTCCCGAAAAATGAATCTGTCAGTACATCCATTCATGTTTAAAAGGTTTAATATTGTGTATTTTTGCTTTGAAAGTAGCAAAGCGTGGTTTTTAATTTTGGTCGGCACGCGGGAAAATTTTTTTTAAATTTAGCCGACTTTGGCACGCGAGCCGAAAAAGTTTGCCCACCCCTGGTCTAGGGCTAGACGGTCACGTCAATATATCTATAAAAAAATTGTGTAGTTGAACAAAATTAAAATTAATACCTGCGTAGAGGGATGATTGTGTCGGAATTTAGTTTATCGATGTCGATGGACTAAATGACACTCGTACTTGACGACAAACAGTCAGAATTTATACCCGTGCCAAAAGTCCATGTGCCGTTAATAAGGACCCCAATTCCCCTGTACGATTTAAAACTGGGTGCCTAGTTGCTTTTTGTTATGTGCTTTGTTGATATATTTCTTCATAATTACTATGTAATAATAAAAATGTCAATATAAAAATTTGACAGCAAAAATAACCAAATTAGTTGAGCTAGTTTGGCTGATAAATAGCTAAAAACATGTGAATCCTATTCTCTCGTGGGGGTGGGGACATGTATGGCTCATAGCTCACGATCTCTCCAGACAAAAAATAAATTAAAAAGAAGTATTCCAACTTATTTTTTAAAACATTCTGGACCATATCAAAAAGGTAAATCTATCGGAAATATCGGTCTTAATCTAACCGATACCGATACTGAAAAAATGGCCGATATTGCCGATACCCGATACATTGGTACATCTCTAATACTAACATGAATTCCATTTGGCATATGTATATGTTTAATTAAGAGACTGGGTAGCCTATTTCCGGTATCACTAGGAGCAAGTGACTCATGGCAAGTACACTCAGCACAGATAATTCGAATTGCTAAACAGAATGCCAGGAGCTCAGAGCTCAAATATTAAAAAAAAATGATTCAGCTTGAGACAGCACAAAAATCCGTGTGCGATATCATGCAGCCAACAGTGCAGGTATGAGAATTTCATTCAAAAGAACATTTAGTAAATCATATTTCTTAAAGCTTGAATATAGCTGAGTAACTTCTGAGCAAGAGCAAATATGACTTACTGTCTTTCCATAGTAGCAATTTCCTGATTATCACTTTTCACTCTGGCTAATAATTTTTCTTTTTCTGCCTCCGGACTCGAAAATGTTTCTTGTTCTTGCTGGAGTTGAGTATATTTATCCTGGAGTTCATTCATCTGTTCATATAATCTAACTGCTTCCAATTTTATTGGATTTGACTGCAATGAAATGAAGATAAATAGGTTTGTTAGGTTCAGAAATAACAACTTTTTGAGCAGAAGAAAGGACAATTCAAGACAAATCCTTCTGATCGTTTGTGAAAAACAAATAGCATATCCTTCCATGAATTTTGTCATATGCATAAAAAATAAATGAAGTTTGAGTATTTTGATAATTGAAGTCAGAATTTTCGACAGAAACTCAAAAAAAAATTAGTTGAGTTAGTGTAATCATCAGTATATTGAAAAAAACTTATATACGTCAAAGTTTTTATTATTCAACTTTGATTCCCCCAGGAGTTTGGAGCTGGAATCACAGACAATTTTCATTTATCGGAGTGAAGATTTTTTCATCTTGAGGTCAAGATTCATGTTTTCATTCAATCTGATGTTGGAAGTCGGCAATGATTGTATATTTTCACGATTTCACAACATTGGAGAAACCAGTGTACTTATTCATTTCATACCTGCAACGACTGTTCAATCTGTTGTTGCTTTGAACTCAAAGATTCAATTTCATCCTGCATACTATTGACAATGTCTGCGTTTTTCAAACTCTCTTTTTTCAGAGCAACATATTGTTCTCTCATTTCTGGTTCCTAGGAAATAAATCAAATAGATAAATGTAACTGTTTCATTTCTGAAAGGTAATTTTACTATTAATATGACAAAAATAATACAAACATAATTCTTATCATACCATGTCTTGAACCCTGTTTTCAGTCATTGTCCTTTCATGATCCATCTCCCTCTCTAATTTAGCAAGTTGCTGATCCATTGCCTGTCTTTGTTCAAATATTCTTTCAAGACTTTCTTCTTCTCTATCATTTCGAGCTTTCAGCTGGCGCAAAATAAACGTGATTTTAATGATTATGGCACTGAGCATTATGCATGATCGGATAGTAGAAACAGCATCCAGCTAAAAAAAATATTCGAAAGCCAGAAATTTCAATTGGCAATAATGTGGTAATTCAAATATGATAGTATCTATAAGTTCCAATAGATAATTTTTATGAATTTGTGGGGCTCCGTAAATAGTATTCAACCTCTTCACACACTCCATAACACCAAAAGTTTGAGAACCCCTGCCCTATGCAAACATGTCAGATATAAAATACCAAAACAACTTTAGAAGATTTTATTGTACAATTCGACATTTTATAAATCCTCAATGCTCCCACTTACCGAGTTATAATCATCAGAAATTCCTGTAATTTCTTTGTTCATGTTGATTTGGTCAATCATCTACATAAAATATTGACATAAATATCTATTAATACTAATTACTAGAATAATTCAAAAAGGAATTTCTATGAAAACATGACCATGGAATAACCATCATATTGAATCTTAGAAAATATGATCTTTATAATGATCTTTAAATATTTACATGAAAAAAGAATATTTAGATCAATCTAATCAAGTATGAGGAAAGAATAAATGACAATTACATTTGCTGAGAATGTGACTTCTCATGTTTGTTCCATGAACTCCCTAATAGTGAACCGAAAGTCAATAGGCTATATAAAGGAAGGGTCTTCCCCAACTTTCTATACTTGCCATATTATAATCATGAAGCTCTCCTTGAAGACCAGCAATCTCAGCCGCCAGCATTTCAGCTCTCTTTTCAAACATGAGATAAGTGTTATTTTCTTCCTGATATTGACGAACGTCTGTCTCAACCTTTTTAATTTCTGACGCTAATTCATTCGTCTTGGTCCTGCATTTCAAAAATAAGCAATTTAATGATTTCTACTTGTCATTCAGCTATTAAAATTTTCTCTTTTTTATCAAGATAGATTGCTGTATAACCTCTCGGTCATGCACAGTTTACAACAAATTTATCAACCCATTTTAAATTACCGTATTTCCCAGCAAATAAGTGGCTTTTCTAGACCCAAATTTTTGGCCTGATTTTGGGGAGGCCGTCTTATTAGGCGAGTATGATATTTTTCTTTTTTTCGGGATCGGTTCATTATTCAATTAAGACCATAAAATACCTTCGGCGATAGCATCCCCCATAATATCCTCATCAGGTCAGTTTAAATGAATTGGCTGAATGAATGAATTGTTTGTGCATCACGAGTGAGGGCTATTACCGATAAATGTGGGATTGCAGTTTGTGAAAATCGTCAATTGTTCTGTCAGCGTGATGTCTTATTTGAGCGTTAAACATCTTTCATTTCAGCATATATTCTCCCTAAGTCATAAATTTCCCTCAACATATGTTTTGTGCCGCCAGGACCGACCATAGTTACTTCATTGTTCACAAACAACCATGGCACTTGTGTTGTGAGATACGAGGTATTACCTAATCATATGTGACATGATGCTAAGATGAATGAAGGAGTGAATATGTGACCCAAATATTCTTGATTAAAATATTGGCATTATGAAATACTAAAAATTAAACGGAAACACCGTCTAGGTTTTATTTTAGGATGGCCTGTGACAGATGATTTTTGGACATTGCAAATCGCAAAAACATTCTGTATTTTACAATTACCGACAGGGCCTGACGCGACTATGATATATTTATAATACCGTGATTAATGTGAAGTATATTTAATTCATTTTTTGGAATGCATTTAACTGATTTTAATTTACCGGTAGAATTTTTCTTACGTCGATTTCCTCAAAATAATGAGTGGCAGCTTTGCGATGAAGCGGAATAATTGTTGCAGCAAGAGCTCATTTATGTTGTTCAATTTGTAAAAATACGAATCAAAACAACATATAATCGAACATGTTTATGTGCACAGTTTGTGTTGGTATTTTGGAGTGATACTATTTATATTGTCACAATCGCAGATTAAATTGATCACAAATAAATCAATTAACAGTTAACACATTTCGTTTCGTGGAGATTTCGAGGTGATGATTATGTATGTATGTTTCATATATACCGTACACTTTATATGTATATTTATTGTCGTTAATTAGAGATAAAGAATTAGCAAGACAGTTTAAATTCCCATAGATGTCATGGATTGAATATTACGCTACAAGAAAAAGTCATTATGGGTTATCTTGCATGGTAATTTGAGATTCCGATTCTGATGCGATTTTACTGACCGTCTTATTGGGAGGTTATAGGCAAAAAAACATTGTTTCAGACTTAAAAACGGGCCTCATCTTACTTACTGGGTAGACTTATTCGCCGGGAAATACGGTAATTGAAATTCATGCACTGTGATATTGAAATACAAAACAGGATAATATAATTACAGTAATGGGAAAAATCACCAAATGAATTGGTTCAAAGAACTGCAAATATAAGCAGTACATAAAGAGTAAAATCAAGACTTTAAAATAGAATATTAACAACTTTGCAAACAAACACACTCGATACCAGTTAAGGAACCAAATTAAGTCTTTCTCATCGCTAGCGATCAGACATGGTCGAGATATAAAGAATAGATGGTCACCAATTATTGTCCAAAGCTGCCACAACTGGTTCGGCACACAATTGACTTTCTTTCAAAAATTGATTAAATATAAACAGCTCATGCTTGGCATTAGCGGTAGATATCCGAAGTGGTCAGCGTTAGCAATTGTGCTCCCTCCAAGATTGAAAACTGATTACGATCTTACGATCTACTGTTGCGAAAAAATCAACAATGATTCAAATATAACTCATTATACTTAATAATACCCTACCGTATTTCTCCAAGCCAATAAGTTCTGTCTTGTATCTGTCGTTGGGGGCCTTTACTTGCTGTTTTCATTCCACCGAGACCTTGCTGTGTCATTGGTCGATCCGCTACTCTAATTCCAGCAGGTAAAACAGTGGATGTCATGCCCGGTTGCCCTCCCCTTGTACCAGGGCGACCAGTACCAGGAACTTGCTGAAATGTACACAGTACATGACATTAACTTGACTTGCCAACAGGCTTGCAGATAGTTTGCGAGTTCATTCCCAGATTCTTTGACAAATTAAGTATAATGTGAAGGAGTAATTACTGTTAGTCGCCAAACACATTTATGTTTGATTCACAACAAGCTCACTTTCTGCATGGTTATTAATCGATTAGGAAGTCTACATAAAGAGGAAAATGAAAAAGCAGCAAAAAACATCAAAAGGTACTACTCACTCCTGTGCCTATTCTACCTCCCATCGGTGGTCTTGCTCCCATACCTGCATAAAACAATAAGTAAAACATATATATCGATAATTTATTTGATAGGGATGTATAAAAAAAATCAAAATATTAATGATGGATATGTACAAGGCCATGAAGTCAAGAGATTGGCATATTTTGATTGATATTGGAGTCCGTGCCAGAGCCAGAATCTCCTCTCCAGATTCTGAAGTGGAAGTTTCGAAACTTACTGTAATTCTATTTTTTTATTGGCGATATTCAAGTTAAAATTTTCGAATAAAGCATTGAGTTGACCCTAACAGATAATTAAAGAATGGAGTTTGAAGTTGGACCCTGAGACAAAATTGCATTCTTTTCCGCCAACCTGGAGTCGAAAGTTGTTTTTTAAATGACAGAGTTCCGACCCCACAGCACTGCACATATATTAATATTTTAATTATAACTGATGGCAATTAATCAAATCGTTTGTTAGTCAAATCATTCAAATCGCTTGAGCAAGAAAACTATTGTTTGCAATATTTAAAAAATCAATGAGATTGTTGTAAATAATGCATATTTAAGCATATTCAATACCATTTTACAGTACGGCACATTTCTCTGATTTCGAATTAGCGGATATATTCTAGAACAGGGGTTGTGCAACCTGCAGGCAGCGGGCCAAAATAATTTAGTTTAATCTAGTATGTGTGAGTGAGCAAAGTTGATGCGTCTATGGAAGCCAGACGTTCGTCAGCATGTGTTGATTGAAATTCAGTAACATCATTCATCGGAACTCGTTTCTGTCGCCGACTGTTTTCTGCCCATTAATCTCAAACACTTCAGTTTTTTTTTCCATTCGATAGATCGGATATTTTCTTTCCAAGTGAGTGTGGTGATTTTAGGTTACGTTTCTTTTTAGTTTATTTCACAATCTCATTGACGATTACAACACAACATAACGAAATGTTAATGCATGGTGGATTTGCTGTCCTGTAGAGTCACCCTATATTTTAACATATATTTTATATCCATTAAGTAAGTCTTGTGTGTACTTTCGTGCAGGTATGTTCAAACCCCACGGAGCAATTGATTGGACAATAATACAAAACATGTAGCTGGCAATGTAAAAATATATCGCATCTAACAACATGCAAAATTTCTGGAATTGTCCTGTAGAGTCACTTGGAATAGCCCTTATATAAGGTAATATAAAAACAGAAAAGATGTTGCAGCGACACAAGAAATGTTTGAAACTCACCACTTGATGGCGGCCTTCCTCGCATTGAGCTTGGTGGCCTCCCAGCCATTGTGCAATATTCAAGAATGACTTCCTCACTGACAAAGATAGTAATGTCAAACAATATCTCTACTTAAGCGGCAGTATTCTTATGTTGTTTTGGCTAGAGACTTTAGATATTTAAATAAATAACAACACACTAAATATACAAAAGGTAAACACTGTGAAATATGGCAGTCTAGCTGAAATTGATACAACTGTAGAACCAGAGCATGGATGTGATGTCTTAGCTTACTGGATTAATGTTAACCATGTTTGAAAAACGAGTTAAAATCCTTTGGATCAAATCGAATTGCGAAGGCTAAAGACTTCAGTTCATCTAAACATAGTAGTTCAATCAATAACAGCTCGAAATGCTAGACCATAAATTTGTTGTTCAAATGCAAACAATTCATCACTTTATTTCAGAAAGTAGCCTACTGTATACTAAAGTCCTGACTTTCGGACTAATAGCACACGTTGAATGCCATTTATGAACGTACAGACGTAGCTTATTTTTTTAAAGCACATCATGTAGGTACAATTTCAGGACATAATATAGTTGAATGGGTGAAATAAAAGTCATAATAAACATTTCAATATTGCCTTAGCTGGTGGATAAGTGGCAGAGTGAATGAAATACAATACACCTCTATCTCGCTTTACTTGCTAAATTGTTCTAAAGTAACTAAACAAAAACACATTAGACTATATTTTCATTCAGATAAATTACTGAATTAACAGCCGCCATTTTAAAAATCCTGTATTTTGATTGCGCTTCTTAAATATTTAAAGTATTAGCAGTTTAACAGTTGGACATACTAAAAAAACTGAACAAGATAGACTATGACTAATACCACATCAAACCTTAACCATGAAATTTGCATTCACTCCTGGACTTGGCAACTGACAACATTCTGACATTGCTCATCTTATGTCTGTATGCAGGACCTGCAGGTATGTCTTTTTTTAATGAAGAAAGAATATAACTTAAATGTTATAAAGTTATTGACAAGTTTTACGATCATTACATTAATTGTTAATGTTAGACTATATAGGCTATTCATGGAAGAATTCATCATCCAGATTTTTCACCATAAAGATTAGACTATACCGTAACAGTCTATAAATTAATGCCGAAAAAATTAACAAACTGCGACGATATTTCTCACACGTTATCATCCACTTATCCCCCGTAGCTCTGCGAAATTACACTAAAATGCGGCCACAAACAAAAAAGTTACGACCGAAAACCCGACCGAAGAAAAAAACAGACCATTTTTTTTTCAATCATGTTTTATGTCGCCAACTACCCATTGTCTCTCTAAAAAATAATTGAAAATCCATACAGATATGAGAGATAAAAAGATGGAACTTGGCAGGTGGGTAGAGTTGTGTTTTTTTATTAACCATCTTTAAAGTTTCGCGTTTCTACATTTAAAGGAGGGAGAATAGGGGTTGCACATTTCCAATATCTTTGCCGACCAATTTGCGACCACCGTGTTTTTGTCTGTTTGATTGCTGGGATGCGGTGCTTTGTTTATTAATTTGATGAGTTTTGTTCGAAATAACCATGTTCTTGAAATATATGACTGTCAGAAATACAATTAGAAGCCTAATTTTTTCACGCATGGCTGCGTATGCTCTAGTCTTGACGCAGTAGAAACGATGTTCAAGGCTTGAAACTCGTGGTCGCACACTGGTCGTTCGGTCGCAAATGTGTTTTCAGAGTGTCGTACTTCAGTGGTCTGTATAGCTTTAACCCATGGTCGTAGAAAGTTAATTCGAGGTTTAGCGTGTAGAATAAATGCCAATGCACCTACGGTGAAAAAATTAACGGATTACAGGTTTAGAAATATTCGTTTTAGCGATTTGAATGAAATCGTCAACAGACTGGCTACACCACCCTATTACCATTCAAAAAATGCATGTAGCAGTGTAAAGAGAATTTTTTTTCAAGTTAATTCATCTGCTTATGACTGGTATTACAGTAATACCGTACGGTACCGGTACGGTATCAACTTCAAATATTACCTGGCTAACTACTTACCCAGAATGGAAACCAGACGAGAGGCAGTGGTTCGTCATATGATCAAGCCGCCTGATATACTTTCCTCTGCGTCAGGATTAAAATGTAAACCCCTATTCTATTCAAAATTCCTCACGGACAGACGGAGCAGCCGAATACATTTCTAGTGATAGGCTTGCAGTACAATACTTTACGCACTATTTCCAGCGGTTTCCTCGACCTTTGACACAAAAATAAAGTCTCCCTACAGTAAGTTACAGCTTTCAGATTTTGGTGATCTATGGATGTGTCCCCCAGTATCGGCTTCCTTGTTTACTTCGTGACATTGGCCAATCAGCAAAATGCAAAAAGTAGGATAGACTTTACATATTTATCGCAGGGTAGAGGGAAGTCGATGAGACGACTTAATCAGCGCTGGATTACCCATTGAACAATATAAGCACGTGCTTGGGGCACCAAGCAAAGAGGGGCAAGAGAAGTTTAGCAGACAACTCAGACATCAAAATTTTCGCTCATTTCTCGTCTTCAAGTATCATATTAACCTTCTTTATTAAATTTTTTTGTTGTTTTTCCCCCTAGTATTCACCTTGTTGATGCATTTTTGTTTAAATAAATTTCTTCTCTTTTAAACTATTGGACCAATGGACTATTTGCACGGTTCGGCGGTTCCGTGATCGCATTTCAACGATCTAGTGGTCAGCGATGTCGGGAGTCTTTCGATAAGGTAGACCAGAATGGTCCAAACCCTGTCATGACTTGACAAATCCTGAACTTTTTTTTTTAGTTATTCCAACTGGGGTGGGATCCCTAGATTCAAACTCGTTTCCTAATCACAATGTCGGGAATTATGCTTGTCGAGGTCACGGAATTTCAATGCTGTATTTATAAACGTCAAGACGATGCCAATATGAGAATGGCGTCCTGTGAGCTGTGATCGGTACAATGAGAATGAATTGCCTTGTGCAGACAGGACCAAACCGATTAGATGGGTCGCACTTTTCATCTCAACTCGCGTCGGGTAACTCCTTATTCGGAGAGAGATTTTGTGCCTTTATTTTAGGAAAAACACTCCTCCGTTTTCAAATGAGGGCCATCTCTGTCTCAACGCCGCGTAATCCAGGTTATCTTGGGCGAGGTCCCGAAATACCAACTTGACGAACTTGGTTGTTATTTGACAATTGCGTTAAGCCTGCTCACGCTGCAAATTTTTAAATTACTCAAAAATAATAATTCGTAATATAATGAGTGTCAAAAGAAAGGTGACATAAAGAAAACAAGGAGAAAATGTATTCTTGCACACCACAACGGTAAACCACAGCTTCTGGTAAGTAACATCTGTCACGAACGAATATAATTTGAAGCGTCATTATAAACCCAAACGCGAGATGCGGAAAATACAACGATAATTCTCGGTAATTAATTTCGAAATAACTGAAGGCTTTATATATATCTTCTTTAAAAGAACGCAACCCATGCAACATAATAATAGGCTGAATCGAACGGTAAACTCTAATTGTTCATTAAATTTAAAGTAAGTAAAGTCGCGATATTTCGATCACTTTTGTTGTTTTTTTCGACTGCGGCCCGCGTGACCTTCTAAAAGGTTTTTGTGGTCCTTCTCGCTATATTGGACCACCCTGAGGTAAACTACTAAGTACCGGTAAAATTTCAAACTACAGTTGTGACTTGATTTGTATCCTTTGGTATTTCGATTCACGATAAGATTGGACGCATGAATCTTCATCGTCGAACTTCTTCAGGATTAGAGCTTAACCGTTATACCGGTCTGATATTGCGTGTTTGCAGATATAGGCTAATATATCGGCAGTAAACGGCCGATATATATATATATATATATATATATCGGTTATGTATACCAGTTAAAAAACCTAAAAAATATCCGTAAAAGTTGTTTTATTTACTGTTGGTTGTAATAATTTTTGATGGATGATACACTTATGTAGTTTATTGTTTTTATAATTTAAAATACACATAAGAGGGCACCAAAGTCTTCAGTGCTTAGGGCACCAAAGGGACATAATCCGCCCCTGGGCTTAATGATATGGCGAACCACGGCCTCTCGTCCTGTTACCAGTTCATGTCGGGTATGGGATTAGTTATGTCGAAAATAAGTGAAGCACAACCGGTGTATAGCAAAACGATTTTATTTGCCGATGTTTTGCTATACACCGGTTGTGCTTCACTTATCTTCAACATGAATATACCTGGTGGCAATCATGCGCTATGGGATTGGTTAGTCAGCTATTTGTATTTTTCCGAAGCGTGGACTTGATGGTGGAGGAAGACGTACCCGACCAACAGTTACGTGAACCACCCTACGGCGGCGAGAAGTCCAGCAATCCTCTCGCACATAATTAACCCAGCTAGATTCGAACCCACACAGGGTAATCCTAGTTGTGGTGGTGAGCGTATTCCTAACGCTTAGCACGATGCGCCACATCGCCGAGCCATATAAGTTATAAAATCCGTCACGTAACAATGGCTCTTTTCGCATCCGCTCAAACACTTTTCTCACTCCGACCGTTAATCGTTGCTCCGACAGATTTTCAGGCTGGGTCGTAAACATTATCTCGTTTTCGCGCTTTTGAATTTTATCCGCTAGTTTTCAGTTGTCAAATGAATTATATAAATTATTTCATAATAATAATTATAAATCGAAAAATATTTCAATGATCATATGTTTTCTTAGTAGTTTGAGTTTAATTGCAGTTTCATCAAAAATTAATGTAGAAACAGCTGTGATAGACTAGGCTAAAATTCTTTACCGATCCCTTTAGTGATTATTGCATACTATGAATCAGGTTGATGGTTTGAAACAAATATTCCATTTTAGAGGCGCCAACTCGTGAAACCGCTCTCATAATAAGCGCCGAAAATTTTGCAATGGTGAAGGATAGAAAAAACTTTCCGGGGTTAAATGTCGAGGAAAGGTTCATGGTGAAAGAATGGATGGAGTGTTTCCGTCACAATAAAAATCAGGAGATAATTATAAGCAGAATCAGAAATATTTTATGCGCCATTTCAATAAAAACACATTCAACATTAAAGTGTCTGTAATAAGCTTATATGTGTCCAGAATATATGTTTTCCCCCTAGCATATCTATAGCGATTAATTACCACTACACATAGATTG